TTTTAGGTGTATGGATATTTTATCTACTTAATTTAATTTATTCCTAAATGTTTTATTTATTTCTAATGCCATTTAAAATATGATTGCTTTTTAAGTTTTTTTTTTATTGAGTTATAGTCAGTTTACAATGTTGTGTCAATTTCTGGTCTACAGCACAAGTTTTCAGTCATACATGAATATACATATATTCATTTTTATATTATTTTTCACCATGAGCTACCAGAAGATCTTGAATAAATTTCCCTGTGCTATACAGTGTAAACTTGTTTATATATTCTATATTTACTTGTCATTATCTGCAAATCTCAAACTCCTAGTCTGTCCCTTCCCACTCCCCTTCCCACTGGCAATGACAAATTTGTATTCTATGTCTGTGTGTCTGTTTCTGTTTTATATTTATTTGTCTTCTATTTTTTTTTTTAGATTCCACATATGAGTGATATATGGTAGTTTTCTTTCTTTTTCTGGCTTAACTTCACTTAAAGTGACATTCTCCAGGAACATCCATGTTGCTGCAACTGACATTATGTTGTCATTTTTATGGCTGAATAATATTTCATTGCATATCTGTACCACAACTTCTTTACCTGGTCATCTGTTGATGGACATTTAGGCTGTTTCCATGTCTTGGCTATTGTAAATAGTACTCATGTGAACATTGGGGTGCAAGTGTCTTTTTCAATTAGGGTTCCTTCTGGATATATGCCCAGGAGTGGGATTGCTGGGTCATATGTTAAGTCTATTTTTAGTCTTTTGAGTAATCTCCATACTGTTTTCCACAATGGCTGCACCAAACTGCATTCCCACCAGCAGTGTAGGAGGGTTCCCTTTTCCCCACAGCCTCCCCAACATTTATCATTCATGGACTTTTGAATGATGGCCATCCTGACTGGTGTGAGGTGATACCTCATTTTAGTTTTGATTTGCACTTCTGTTACAATTAGTGTTATTGAGCACTTTTTCATGTGCCTATTGGTCATTTGTACGTCTTCATTGGAGAAATGCTTGTTTAGGTCTTCTGCTCATTTATGGATTGGGTTTTTTTTTTTTCTTACTAAGTCATAGAAACTGTTTATATATTTTCAAGATCAAGCCCTTGTTGGTTTCATCTTCTGCAAATATTTTTTCCCATTCCCTAGGTTGTCACTTTGTTTTCTTTATGGTTTCCTTTGCTGTTCAAAAGCTTGTAAGTTTAATTAGGTCCCACATGTTTATTCTTGCTTTTATTTCTATTGCTTGGGTAGACTGTCCTAGAAGAACATTGCTGAAATGTATGTGAGATAATATTTTGCCTATATTTTCTTCTAGGAGGTTTATTGCATCTTGTCTTATGTTTAAGTCTTTGATCCATTTTGAGTTCATTTTTGTGTAAGGTGTGAGGGATTATTATAACTTCATTGATTCATATGTTGCTGTCCAGTTTTCCCAACACCATTTGCTGAAGAGACTGTCTTAATTCCATTGTATGTTCTTGTCTCCTTTGTCAGAGATTAATTGACCAAGTCTGTGGATTCATTTCTTGGCTCTCTGTTTTGTTCCATTGATCTACATGTCTGTTTTTGTAGCAGTACCATGCTGTTTTGATTACTGCAGCTCTGTAGTATTGTCTGAAGTCTGGGAGAGTTATTCCTCCAGCCTCTTTCTCTTTCTTCAGTAATGCTTTGCCAATTCTAGGTCTTTTGTGATTCCATATAAATTTTATGAGTTATTCTAGTTCAGTGAAAAATGAAGGACTTTTATTTTTAACTTACCAAAGAGGTTACAAAGGTTATTTTATCAGTTAAGTTGTTTAACAAGTGTATTTGAAAACATGGAAATCTGTTTCCTGAGGTATGTTTAAATATATTCTGTAATGAAGAAAGTGCTTTATTTTATTAATTGATAAACTTTTGAATTTTAAAGCAAGATTTCAGTGTAAGAACACCTGTGGCCAGCATGGAGATTTATCCTGCCCCTCACCCACCCAATATATAATAAAAAGAAGGATGTAAAAGATATTTACTTATCACTTTGATAACTGCTAACTATTGGTAAACCTGTAAAATTCTGTTGAATTTATTATTGAAGAAATTCCAAACCATATATATTCACCTATTTTCCTTTGAGGGTGGCCTGCAGTTAGTGACTTGAGTGCACAGAATAAAGTAGGGAAAGTGAAATGGAACTTTCAATGAAGAAATCTGGTACAGAGGTCCATGACCAAGTGATCAAGTTTAATGTCACCAGTGGTGTCATGTGGGGACTCTGACTTGATATGAAGAGTAGGGTGCTTCAACACTGCTCTTCCTCCCAAAAGTTTATAAGCCCAAATCAGTCATAAAAATATAAAAAAGTTCAAAATTGAAGGACAGTTACAGAATACCTGACCAGTACTTCTCAAAACTGTGAAGTTCATGAAAAACATGGAAAGATCAAAAGGATAGTAAGGAGACATGACAATTGTGCAGTGTGGCATATGGATTGGATTCTGGAGTAGAAATAGGACATTAATAGAAAAACAAGTGAAATCTGAATAATATCTGGAGGTCGAGAGTAGAATGTACAATCTGAGTTCTTAGTTTTGATAAACCATGAAAATGCAAGAAAATAACATTAAAGAAAATTAAAACTTGGTGAATGATATATCCTTTTGGTACTATATTTGCAACCGTTCTATAAATCTAAAAATATTCTTAAATAAGATTAAAATCTTACTAAAAATAGTCTGTCAATAATTGAATGGTCAAGGAAACTGTTAACATGTATACATTGCAATATTTAGTAGAGGCTGAAAAGACATTCTCTTTATATACTAATATGGAACAAGGTTACATGTTGTATTTATGTAATGGAACTACAATTTAAAAAATAATATACTTATAATTGTACTTTTGCAAAAAAACCCACGTAAACTGATGATTCTGTTGCAGGTGGCGTGGTGATGTGTGGAAGCCTGATTCAGACCTGCGTCTCTGAATCCCCATGGCTAGTACTGCTTTTCTTCTCAAGTCTGCTCTATGTCCATCTTTCAGAGGTCCTGGCCTCTCTTGCCTACTGCCTGGGGAGGATTAGCCCACACACCTGAAGAAGTATGTGAATTTGAATCTTATGAACATAGGTAGCTTCGTCCAGCAATTTCTGCACTGAGTTCTTCAATACATATCTCTGCAACACAGGACAGGGAAAAATACCTACTTAACTTCGGATAAAGGGGCACAGGAAATCACACTGCAATAAACATTAGGGTGTATGTACCTTTCCTAGTTGGTGGTAGTTTCTCAAATACCCAGAAGAGATGTTGTTGGATCATAGGTAGATGGGAATCACATGGCAGTGGCCTAATTCACATTTCTGTTACATAGTATCCCCCCATTTTCCCATCTGATTACACTTACATTTAATGAGCTTTTTAACAGTGATACAGCATGTTTTTATTCATGACCTTGTACATGTATTAATTTACTCAGATATATTTCCAGCAGGCAGGTCTTTGCTATTTCTTTGGAATATATCTGTCCATAATGTTGATATAAACCTTCTTCTAATATATCAACTACATGGAAAGGCCAATAGTAGGTTCTGAGTTTTAAAAAAGAGAAGTATAAGGTGTGCTGAGACCCTACAACAAGATGGACTCATTTAGTCCAGAGGTTAACAATAATACCATGAAGGAGATTTTAAAACTGAGATTTGATGAAGGAGCATAATTTATAAGATGCACAACAAGGAGAAAAGAATTCCAAGTCTGCTCTTGAGAAGAAACCTGTGCTCTTGCCTTAATCTATTAAGCTGGGGAAACACACCCAAGGTCTTCTGTTACCTCCAGCCTCCCTCAAAATCAAGTGAAATACCAAGACATAGAATAAAGATCACACAGTGTTTCAAGAGATATTATTTTTATTTAAAGAGAATGGAATTTAAACAATAACATATCAACCCTTTAAAATCAATACATTTCACAAAGGAAGATGAAGTTAAAGAAAATCAGGCAGGCACTAACTTAGTGATCTCATTCATTGACATTCCTGATGCCTGTGGTCAGATTTCTCACTTGCCCCTGATCATGGGTGTCTCGAGCAAAGAAAAGGCTTCAGAGGAGATGAGCATGAGAAAACTACAAATGAGGGAACTGCTGGCCACACTGACAAAGCTCACCACACCACCTTCATAATCTAGGAGCACCCCTATGTGGCTGAGAGGCCTTTTGACATATTGAGGTAAATACTGAGGTAATGGTGGGGAGGAGGTAAAGAGACAGCACTGATCTCTTTGATACAAAAAAGGAGAAAAATTCCCTCCAAGTCAACCACCATGTCATTCTTCCTTGTCCGAGAATCATTACAAACCCCAATTATCAAGTTATCACAGCCTGCCACCTCCTAGTAATGCTGACCGGAAGTGAATGCCTCAGCTCCCCAGGCAAGAAAATACTTAGATCTTGGATTGTTGGCAGCATAAGGATGATCAGGACCAGACAGCAGACATCTCAGATCTTCACACAGAGGCAGCTGACAGGTGACTGTTTCATCATCCAAGGCAATAAACACTGCAGGAAGAAGGGGGAAAGTGTATTAATGTGTCATACATTTCTGATGGGCCTGATCTTTACATAGTGCCTGGGTTTCCTAGTTTATTACTAGAAATAGGAGGCAGGACAGCAAGAGAGATCTAGGTTACTGGTCTGTCTTCATAAGATTTTAACCAGACAAAATGGAAAAAAAATCATGATTTTTAAAAAAATATATAAAGAAGAGACATATTGCTAAGTTTTGGCCATGATTTTCCATGGAACATTTGAAACTGGCATTTAATTAACATTTCACGGTCAGGAACAAAGTAGCCTACTCACCTCCTCAGAAGATGTACAAGAAAATTAACAGTAACTCTTGAGGAGTTTGTATTTTCATAACATAAAGATTTTTTATTAAAAACTACAAAGTTAAAATACAATGAAAGAAAAATTACATTTTTCAAGTGGTTCTTTGTGAGAATTTTCATCCCTTCCTTGAAAAGGGTGAAATCTAATGTTATGGGTTGTCAGCTTACTTTGCCAATGTTGCATATAAACTGTGTATATAATTTCATATTGTTTCTAATAAAATTGGTCATACTATATTTTTACATCATGTGAATAAAGTATGTTCTTTGTAAAATGGATGCATTACAGGGAGTTTTACAAACCAAGTTACAGCTCTCTAAGCATCTCACAACCAATGATAAGGTCACTTACCTAGAACTTGGAATGTACTGAATGTGCATGCAGATACCTGCTCCATGTGAACGGCCAACACTACACCTCAGCGAGCTGCAGGTCATCAGTTATCTTTCCCTGTTGCTTACCATCCAGAAACCTGATTACTACTGACCATAAATGGCCTTTTTCCCAGAAAACAATTAACTTTTCTTCCATACTGACCAACCTCTGCAGCTACACCCCAGTCTGGTTGGCCATCACTGCCCTTCAGCTCCACGTATGGCTTCTCATGCACTCAGATGAGATCTTCATGAAGACCATCCAAGAGAAAAGCCAGAAGTTCCTGGGAGTCCTGTTGCTGGAACCCATTAAATTGGGGAGCATATGTTGCTATGGTCCACTATAAATATAAGAGGAATCAAACTCATTACTTGCTATCTCTATATCTCTATATATGTATATATCTATATATCTATAAAATTTAGAATGAACATGCCCATAATTCAATCTGAGCATTAGAAGAAGGTAAATAGTATTTAGTCTGTGTCTATTTCAGCAAATATATTTTAGATAATCATGAAATCTTTCTAATCTTAATCTCAGATGACCCCTCTTCTCCCTCTAAAAAGTATTATGGCCAATACTGGGTTCCAGTTTAGTATCATGTGAGCAAACATTTCTTTAGGTACACAGATGCTACTTAAGACAGAAATATTAAAATAGCATTTTCTCACACCGAAAGATTCCCTTATAGTATTTCTTTTACAGTTAGCTTTTCTGGTCTTGTTGCATCCTAACTTTTATTATTAGAGGCAAGATAGCCTTGTGTTTACCTGTGAGGACTTATACTAGCTTGTAGCTTTGGACAAGCTATTTAAACTGCTAAAAGCCTGCTTCCTGAGCCACATGGTGAAGATAATAACACTACTTTATATTATAGGGTCATTTAGAAGATTAAATTAGTTAATACACATAAAGTAATTAGAATAGTGGCTGGTAAGTTGTAAGTAACCAATTTTAACCTATTATGATTATTAATTTTTGACCTAAAAAGCTTTTGTCTTGCTTTTAAAGATAAAGAATAATGCTAATTTCACTAAAAGTCACCATATATGATACTGATGTCAAATTTCTATCCATTAATTACATTCTTTCTTTCTGCTACATTTTACCCTATAGATAAAATTATCTTAGTAATGTTGAAAATGGATTGAGAATCATTAATTAGACTCAGAGGTCTACCTTACAGTTAGAACACTGTAATAGTGAAGGACTAAGAAAGGAAGGTTTCCTGTATATACAAGACACTTGACAAATTAGTAAAGTCAATGGCATTCTAAATTTAGACTGTACTTTTGATCTTTTCCTACCCACTACATCTGTAGCAGTATTTTGCATATATGTGAACAAGTAAAATTATCTGGCATCCAGTTTATGCCTTGTGAAGGACCCAAAAACATTAAAACTAAAAAGTGAACTATAAAAAACATGTAGAGAAAAATAATTACTTAACCATCTAGGATTTAAATACCTTTATATTACTTTAACATGCTCATCTGAAGCTTTCATGGGGTGACATTCTTTTGAGTTCCACTCCAAAGATCCTGTATTAAATCCCCATAGCATTTAGCCATATGCCCCTTCATACCAATGGGATTTGTCCTAGAAGTTTGAGAAGAAAATTTGTTGCCAAAGATTTTTAAATTACAATCACATGGGCAGAAAAATACCTAGCATCTGTTTTCTCACATCAAAATATCTTTTCAAAATGAGAGTAATAACTCTTGGTCCTTACTTCATGCTAAATAGAGCCAATAAGATTAAGACTTTTCTCTCCCAGGGTGAAGAAAGAGGAGATTTAGGTAATATTGGGTTTATAACAAAGTTGCAACAGTTGAGAAGTCAATGACTCAAGAAAATTACCTGTTGAGTTCATAAAGACGTCTCCCTGAGAGAAAATACTGTGTCAGTGGCTGTATGAACTAATACACTGGATGCTTGAATCCATGAAGCATGTGTTTCCCAGGTTACTCAGACCCTTGGCTCCCTTTTCTTTCAGAACTGGAACAAACAATATGAGAACTGATGCTACTTGTAGCTAAATGTTTTAAACCAGTTAGCTGTATTCAGTGCAATGATTTTTTATAACTCTTCCAATCAGCTAAATGGAGCTAACATTTCTCTATCTGGTCTTGCAAGGCTAAAGTAGATGTTTTTCATGGAGCATCATTGGCAGTCATAATATCTATGCTTATTTGTAATCAAAAAGCAGCAATGATTCTAGCTGTTATAACAGTTTTGTAAAATTCAAACAATTCTCTTCTAGTATTGTATCTTTAAAAAAATGTATACTTATTTTGTTGCAAGGTTAAAAAGAAATTTGATGCTTCAGGAAAAAGAAAAGAGGAGGCCTAATCACATTTGATCCAGAAAGCCACAAGTTGTTAACACCTCAATAGTGAGAAAAGGAAAAAAAAAATAAAAGAATGACTTTAAGATAATTTCTTTAAAAAGAATACACTGGAGACTTACCCTTGTGTCTATCTATTTTACTACTGTTTGCTATAAAGGACATTTCCTCAGGCCAACTCATATCTTTATTTCAAACTCGAAAGACAGAGATAGCAAAGTGTTAATTTCTTATCCATTCAAATCACATCCACTCAATTACTTTTAAAAACAAAGTTCTTATTTCTAAACCAGAAACTAGAGAAAAAAACAAGTTAATTTTAGTAACTGACTCTGAAACCATTTCAATTGTTTATACTGGAGACTTTATAGTCATTGATAAGAATTAATTAGTAAGCTAATACATCAGTTACATACCTTAAGTAAAATACTTAAATGATGGAGGGTACAGCTCAGTGGTAGAGCGCATGCTTAGCATGCAGGTCCTGGGTTCAACCCCTAGTACCTCCATTAAATTTTTTTGAAAATATTTTAAAAATTTATACTCAACCATCTATAGGACTAATTAAAGCTCTTAAATTTAGTACATTAGAACTATTACAATTTTTTCTTACCTTGTGACACATGCCAGAGTAATTATTCATTTTAATACAAAGGCTGTTAGCAGTATTTCATGAATGTTGATAAGAAAAGACACACCAGGTTTTCAGTGACATGTGCATGCCAGTGTGTAAATCTGTGCTTATACAAGTTAAGTTCTGTTGGTGAGTGATCAGTGTTGATTAATGAAAGCCTGCACCATTAACTATGCAACAAATTTACTCTCCTTATTTTTTGTGGGGGAAGGTTAGGGGTAGGGGTGTGTGTGCATGTGCTCTATCACTGAGCTATACCCTCCTTGCTAGTCTCTTTAACTTAGAGGCAGCTTGAAATTTTTAAAAAGCTTTGTGAATTTATAAATGAATTCACCTGTCTTTAACTCCTGTTCCCACCATTGCCAGCCAATCAATGTAGACATATTTATCTTTTCAAGCAATTTAAATAGTATTACAATAGGATCACATAAAGGTTTCATGGTTTTCACTACCATGAAGAATATAATGTTCTAATAATAATTGGAAAAATTATAAAATGGATTATCAGTGAGTAACTAAACCTTTAAATTCTTCCCCTTCAATTGTACCTTCAATTACCAGGTGCTGCTCATCCTGGATTTTCAGATATTCCAATCTACGATCCGCATCATTCAAAAGAGTGAGGCAATTCTGTATATGGAGGAGGAAATGGTTTGTTAATTTAACTACTAATCTTGAAACAAATGCAGATATAAAAATGAATGACAACTAAAAATATCCTTGTAGTTATATAACTCATGTGACATATTTAGCATATTATTGTTATTCAGAAATACTTGTAATTCTGATGGTAAAATGATGGAAAGAATATGTATACTTTGTAAACATAAACTTTATGTCTCTAAAACAGTTATGTAGGATTATGGGGAGATCAGAAAAGACTTAACACATATCAAACCAAAATTCATTGAGATTTAGATTTTTCTTAAGAGCTTACAGAAAAATTGTTTTAGTATGTAGTATGAAATTCAGTAAGTGTGCTTGTGATCAAGATGGAACTTGACTGCTTACTAAGAACTGAAAATTAAAACCAAATGTCAAATAGAACTATACATTTTTGTTGATGCTCACCCTGTCTAAGGCACTCACAAAGTTAATTCATTTAAATCTTAAAATGACCCTAAGGGAGAAACTATTATTTTTCTCATTTACTCATAAGAAAACTGTGACAAGAGAGTTAAGTGACTTGCCTTTGGTTATTCAACTAACAGATGTCAGAGCCAGGATTTGATTCTTGGCAGCATGGCTCCAGGAGCTGCGCTCTTAACTCACGACACTACACTGCCTCTCTACGGTGACCAAAGGAGGGTACAGGAGAGAAAGAACTAGGGACTAGAGAATTGGTTAAAACTATGTATAATCCAAATTCACAATGCAATGAAAACCTACTGCATGTGTCAGAAAGAATATAAGCAACTGACAGCACTACCTCTGAAGAGAATGGAAGATAGGGGTCAAAAGATGGGAAGGCAGAATTTTCACTATATACTTTTGCATTGCTTAAATTTTTTTTTAACATGTGTATGTTATTTTAAAATAAATCCAAAATAAACTCTATTAAAAAAAGATATTTGCTGTTACTTTATAATAAATTTCAGGTGACAAATATCTAACTGTGCATACAGTACTTTAAAAGTTTAAGTTTCCACTGAGATCCTAGATATGGCTTTCAGCATAATTACTGAAGACAAAAACCCCAGACACATGAAACATGGCTTTGACACTCAGGTCTTTTCAGAACCCTGAGGTCCTCTCACCTCACTGCTGTAAGCCACAGGTGCATGCCCTCCTCTATGATGCACAGCCTCTGAGACAGATATTCAAGACTTTCCTTGATGGTCTGCATTTGACTAACGCAGCCTGTACAGGGTAAGACCTGCTTTGACAGTGCACTTGGAGAGGGGACATTTCCTATTGTCACAGTGACCACATAACGAAAAGGGCAGATGTGAGTATGACAGCACCCCTCTCAGTAATGGAGGCCAGGCCACTTAAGTAAATAATGATGGGAAATGAGAATTACAGGTTTAATAGTTTTATAAAGAGACTTTAAAAACTTTAGAATGAAGGTAAGCAGCTCAATTGTCTTAAGAGTGAGATTTTGAAAGGGAGAACAATGAAACAAAGGCCCAAAAACAAAAGGCAGTATTTGGATCCCCTGAAAAGTGGCAAATGTCAGTGGACATTGGTGTCCTGGCTGCCCTCAGCTGGGTCACACTCAACAGCAAAGCCACAACTCAGTGTAAGAATGGGGGAGCTAAAATGGGACTGGACTTGAATTTCAGATAGATAATTGGATTTACCTGATCTGCTTTCTTAAACTGTCTTTGAATTATTAATCCCATCACTCTCATTAAGTGGCCCAATTACCTGGCACACTGGTACAATTAACACAGGTAACACAGGAAATTTTTACTAAAACTTGAAGTTGGCATAGACTCTAAATGGCCAAATAGACCTTTAAAATGAAGCCAAAAGGCTTCCCATGACCAAAAAAAAAAAAAAAAAAAAAGCCGTATTAAAAGGTAGTGTGTGTTGGGGGAATCATGGCCTGCTCACCCAATAAAAGGACAGCAGATGACCTTGAGCTCTCAAAGGGCTCAAGGTGGAAACAAAGAGTGGCAACATGGGGAATGAGTAAAGACTAAAGGAAGAATATATAAAGTCTAACCACATCCTTCAAAAGAGAAGGGAGAAGAAATGACAACAGATTATGGAAAGCAAAAGTAGGTTGCTAAGAAAATCTGCTAAACCTTGGTTTCAGCCAACATCTAGAGACAAAAGCTGTAGCTTAAAATGGTCATCTCCACCTATGGAAGGTTATAGTTTACTGAGCAACCCAAAACAAAAGCACATGTAACATATCAATATAACACATCTAGGGTACAATTATACACTCTAGATAATTTCCCACCTATTTAATGGTGACTTAGCTTTTTTCCTCCCATTAAATGTGCTTTGAGTCTTCACCTACTAAAAAATAAAAATGAAGTATTGGCATCATCTGCTTTTTCAGAGCTTCCAAAAAGAATTAACTCACTGAAAACTGGCTGAAAAATCATCTAACAATGACTTTTGCAGCCTTGTCGGTTGAAAAGGCTATGTTTAAGTCAATGTAACTGTGGCAAGGTTTGTATACCTGTCACTTCAAAAGGAATAAAACAGCCTAGTAAACAGTTGATAAATAAGAGTAATGAGAAAGATGAAAACTACATTATGGAGAACAAAATGCAACTATGATCAATTTTTAAACATCTAGCAAAACAAGTCATTTACTATTAGCAAGCAGAAGATAATTCCTGAAGGGAGCAAATTTCTCCAATTATATATCAGAGGATTAGTTATAAGATTACAACAAGAAAGCATATTTTTTATAAACTTCAAAATGATTAATGATTGATTTCACAATGAATTAGTAAGAAATAAAATTTCAAATTAAAAACAAATTTGTAGCATAATTGTAATGGAAAACAAATCTGACTCTATATTGCATCTGTTCCTTTAGCTTTAACCACTGTGCCCTGTTTTCTAGGCTTATTCTTCCTATCTCTGCACCTTTTGTAAAACAATGTTGCCCTTAGCCTGTCTGGTAAATAGGAGAGCCTTTCTTAAGGCTCTGACCTTTAAGGATATTAACACTTCTGCACATAAAGATAAGTTGCAGAATAGAAAATAATCTCTGTTTTGTTGAAGGTTTACAGGGACACCATGACCTGACCCACGTGGACAGCTGCAAGAACAAAGAATTCCTACAGCAAGAAGTTTGCAACAACCAACCCATACCCCCTCCTTTTTTTTTTTGTATAAAAGGAGCCTATATTCTGACTGGAGCAGGATGATTCTGCAAAACCTTAGTCTGCCATCTCAGTCTGCTGGCTTTCCAAATAAAATCGCTATTTCTTGCCCCAACAACTCATCTCCTGATTTACTGGCCTGTTGTGCAGTGAGCAGGATGATCTTTGAAGTCAGTAACATAGTAATGACCCAGTTCTAAGATTCAGAAGCATTTGCAAGTGTAGTGTCCAATTTCTATTGTCCTAAGCCACATAAGAAATGTATTTGAATTCTAGACAGTTTTTGTAGCATCGCTCATTAAGCAGGCAGCCACTTATTATACATAATTTTGTACATCTGAATAGCACCAACAAATCTAGTGGAATTTACAAAAGCAGCAAAAATTTAGGCTCAGCAAGAGTTACAAAGGATACTTAACTGAAAGTGCAACAACACATCTTGCCTCTCATGTTACCTTTCAAAGAGAATTTTAAAAGATATGTGCTATGGGTACATGAAAGCCTTGTAAAGCTATTATTCAATGGAAAATTAAATCAAGAGTGTTTCTTAGAGATTCTTACTTCTCTGTTCTGTGATTTTGATGTGTTCACTGAAAACGAAATTTAGCTAGGCCGAGTCTACTGCTCTCCTGTAACTCTTACCAAACAGTGTAAAGAGTCTCCATATAATATCTGAACATAATCTT